GGGCAGAGGTGGGACGGGGGGCGGCGCTCGGCCAGGCCGCCGGGCTCGGCCCGAGACAAAGGCGCCGCCACGCCGGGGGCTACCCTGGGCCAGCTCGGGACCGCGGACTCGGCCTAGCCTCCTTCCCGCCCGCCGCCATTACCAGGCCCGGGAGTCCTCCCGGAGAGCCCCTCACGGCCCGGCTCCTCCCTCCAGGCCGGGCCCCACTTACCTGTGGGCGGAGAGCGCGCCTCGGACCTCAGTCCACGCTCAAACGCGCTCCGTCGCCAACCCCCGCCACCGCGGGCAGTGCCGCCGCCTCTTCCCCGTGCCGAGACCGACGGGACACACTGGGTCGCCGCCTCCGCTGCTCGACAGCGCGCCCTACAACGGCCGCCCGGGATACCCCCTGGCCGCCGCCGCTGCCGCCGTTTCGCGCGTCCTCGAGCCCGCCGCGCGCTCCCGCTAAATACCACACACTGCGGCGGCCGCCATGAGGAGGCGCGGTCCCGCGCCCAGAGAGCCTCGAGGAGGAGGAGCTTCCGGCGGACGCGCAGGCGCAGAGGCGCCCGCGCGCCCGCCATCCTCCAGAGCTGGAGTTGGGTGCGGGTCCCCACGAGTGGTAATTGGCACTCGCGCTCCTCGGTTCCCTTTGCCGCATCCAAACACCTCACGTCAAATAAATGCTGGCACGTCACGCTATTCCCAGCAGCCGTCCCCGCCAGAGAAGCAACGAGTGCTTGCCTGACCCGCTGTGACCTCTCCTTCCTTGCGCCCTATTGGGCTTTGTTCCGGGGACCGCTCGACCACCCTCCCTTGGCAAAGGAGCTTCGTGGAATGCGACACCCAAACTCGCCGCCGCCCTCTAGGCTGCCGGGTGCTGTTTACACTATCCATCACCCGCGTTTTGTTTGCTGGTTTCTCACAGCTCTTCCATGGGCCCTTCCAAACCTCATTCCCACAGAAAAAGAAACCGGCTGCTGTGACGACCCCACCCCAAAGGAGAAAAAGATCCAATCCTCTGTCATGTCTGAGTCGCTCCTAAGCAAAAGCAGGACGAGTTTCAAAGGCTTGTTTTAGCTGTAAAATGGGAAGGACGCGTATCCCGGTGTTCTCAAGCATCTAGACGCTAATTGGGACTTTGCGTTCCTTTCCTATAAATAATAAATGAAAAATGTCTTTTACCATTCTTTGATATGTACAATGTATATATCTTACGCCAATAACAGTATCTAGGGCATTTACAGACTGATTAGATTTCCATGTAAAATCCTCTTAAAAATGGTATTCTGTTTGAAAGCAAAAAGGAGATTTTTTATATGGAATTTTAGAAGACACCCAGGGAATAGTCTCTCCTCATCTCCAACCTTCCCACAGCAGCAAATCTCTTCGTGGCAAGTTTGTTTGCAAGTACGCCACTGAACACACAAGTTTTGTTCACAGACTGAAGGCAAACGAAGTTATCTTCGGTAGTAAATGCAAGTTGTTAATTTCCAGTTTCTCAGCAAATCTGTAGACTGTGCCCTGTGTTAATTCTTCTACTTCTGTTCTCAACCTAATACTTTGCTTATTGTGGCTGTTCTTTTCCTCTGGGACCATTAGCACATCCAAACAGTGTTTTTTGAAGTTCAAACGAACAAACAAAAAACCCACGTGTTCTTAGCCGCAAGCATAATATACTACTAATATGCTGGTCCCCAAAGCCCAAAAGTCAGTGGAAGAACCTGAGTTAGTTACATAGATCCATACAGTTTCTTGATAATAATAATAGCATTTTTATTAATAGTGTTTAAGTTTGATAGTGTTAGCATACAGTGTAGCCATCTAATTGCCATTCAGTCATACACTATGCTGATCCCAGGACAGAATGATGAGAAGGACTTGATCATGCAGTTTATCAAGTAAGGGAGACATTCATTTATTCATTTAAAAAATAGCAGACCCCACTGGTTCTGGGAATACCAACCCAGTAGCCCAATATCATGAAATGCATAATCTAGTGGAAGACACAAATATGAATACAAATAAATGTATCATTGCAACTGTGAGAAATGTAGCGAGCAGGAACAAGGCAGGTGTTAAGGAGGTGTATAATAAACAATCCAGTGCTGAGGAGTTGATTTCAACTGGAAGTGCCTCTCTAGGACTGAACAAAACTGCCCTATAGAGTTTCTAAGGCTGTAATCTTTATCGAAGAAGATGGCCACATCTTTCTGTCTTGGAGGTTTGAACTGCCAACCTGATGTTTGGGTTATCAGTCAGCACTAAAGCCATGACACCACCAGGGCTCCTTTATAGTAAATAGGTCAAGTATGTAAGAGGTCAGATGACTGAATACAGAACCCCAGGGTTAGAAGGAGTTAACCAGGTTGGGGCAGAGTGGAAATTTGTTGTTAAATACCATCAAGTCCAAAAGTAGAGGACCTGAATTAGGGGAAAGTATTTCAGAGGAAAGCCTTGTGTAGGAAGGTAAGATGACTGTGTAATTCCAGAATGTGAAAAAATTCCCACCGCTTTTGTTTTGTTTGGGTTTGGTTTTTGGAGGGGGCCAGGGGAACACCAGGCACTGGGTATGTGGACAGCATAAAGAAGTCAGTAGAGTTTAGAGTGTACTGGGCTTGTGGGCCAAGTTACAACATCTCTCAGGCTGATGACTCCACTGCAGGGAGACCATGGCATGCTGGGACTTGTACTGGGGCTATAAAATTTGAACTGGACCCTGGCTATGGTTAGGAGGTTCCCAGATGAAAAATGAAAAGCAAGCAGAGGGAACATATGTGAGGGAACATCATCACAAAAGACAATTGTTGTACCTAAGAATAAAGAAAGGGGGAATGAAAAGGTGGGGGTGGGCGGGGAAAGTAGGGCTTGGAGAGGAGATTGGCCAAGATGAGTGAGGGAAAACTGATGGCAAAAGAGCAGCAGGTAGAACACTTGTGATAATCCAGGCAAAGGTCTGAATGGAAATTCAGAGAGCTGGATTCAGGATGGAATTAATTGAATTTAGGGAGGTAGCTGCCATTTTTAAACATCTACACTGTACCAAGCTTCATACTTTTACATGCAGTACGTCATCGATTCTCAAAAAAAGTTACATGAAGTCTTTACCATTATTATCCCCATTTGATCTGTGAGGCAACTGAGGAGACAGAAATCATGCAATTTGCCTCAGGTCACATAACTGCTAAGTGGTAGCATCAGGATTCAAACCCAAGCCCAGCTTCATTGCCTTGCTCTGAAGTTTATTCTGAGACCTCTAGCTTGGCAAACGGGTAGGCATAGGGAGTATGAGAGGGGAAAGGTAAATTCTTGTTTGGGTGGCGTGAAGTGTGAAATGCCTGCAGTGTTCCCAGAAAGTGGTTAGAAACAGGGGCCCAGAACTCAGAAGGGAAGTCACAAGGACTGTGTGCTCATGCTATCAGGCTCACCAGAGTCTCACGGAAAATGGGTGACTGTTGAACTATTATAAATGAATGAACTGAGAAAAATCAAAGAAAAGGTTTTGTTTGTTTATTTTGGAGCAGCCATTTTGAGGTTTGTGCTGTCAACTTTGATTCAAGTAAACCAAAAGTAAACATTATAAAGTAGAATTAATATTTGTGAGCTGTAAGATAGATTCTGATCTTAGCAAACTGTCAAGCTAAATAAAAAAGGTGGGCATGAAGCAAATGCATGATACAAAGGCATAGACAGGCTTAACCTAGAACGGAGTCACTTCGTACCAGGGTTAGGTTCTAAATTCCATCTAAGGGGAGGGCGAGTGTACTCAAAAACTGCCCTTGAAAGTCCCTTGAATTGTCCATAAATTGTAGTATACATGGTAATGCTTATGCAGTCTAATTTCAGAATATAATACAGTTTAGATATGCAAAATTTTATGGTAGTCTTAACCTTGATTTTGAAGTATTCCTAATTACATTATTTAAACTGTAATTTTCCTCTCACAATTGGGAGGAAGTTGAATATGTAACTCCCCTCTACATGGGAAGGTCAACAGAGTTCTGTGTAACTCGACTCTGGAGGTAACATTTTTCATTTTTACAAGCATTGACAGCGAATAGCCATGTGGCTTTGAACCAGGTTGTAAATTTTATGGGTGTTAAATCCTGAACCCAAGAAGCTCTAGGGGACTAGCTGTACAGGGGTGGCATATAGGTGTTGCCTGCCCCCCAGAATCTCTTGGTTTCTCTGCAAACTATGTAATGGACATTGACTAAAGATAACTTGCTAATATGGTATTTCAAGTTCCAAACACTGAGCTTGGCCAAAATCAGACAATGCTTCCTTCCCACCCCCATCCCATCTTCTAACCCATCCGCATTCAGTTTCTCTGAAAATGACAGTATCTCTTAAAAACTGGTGGATCATTTTAAACTGTAGGGGTGCCCAGAACAGAGTGTTCCCTGGGGACAGCACACTGGTCTCACAGTGTTGGAACTTACGGAGTTCTTAAATCAGCTACCCAGAGCAACTTCTTTATTTCTGATTCTGGAGTTCTCCCACTTGCTTTTCTTGACTTGACTTCTGCCTGCTCTCCTGTACAAGGGTCAGAATGACTTCTCTTTCCTTCCCCAGACACTTGCTTTCTTGTAATACAAAACTAATCTCAATAGATTCATTTCATCACAATGAATCTTAACTTGGGCCCTGGTGTGACAATGTAGGATAAACACTAGACTGTTAACTGTGCTCGGCAATTCAAACCCACCAGCAACTCTTGGAAACCCTATAAAGGGTCTCTATAAATCTTAACAAATGCGACACAACTATCTTATTTTAATCCAAGTTGCACTGAAGGCATTGGTGAAAAACAAGGCTCCAGGAATTGCCAAAATACCAGTTCAGATGCTGCAACAAACGGGTGCAATTCTGGAAGCCTTCACTGATCTATACCAAGATATTTAGAAGACAGCTACTTGGCTAACCAACTGAAAGAAATGCATACTTGTGTCCATTCCAAAGAAATGTGACTCAACAGAAAGCAGAAATTGCATAACAGTATCATTACTATCACACACAAGTAAAATTTTGCTGAAGGTAATTCAAAAGTTCATTTTTTAATTTTGTCGTTTTCAGAGAAGCTGAATGCGGTTGGGTTAGAAGATGGGATGGGGGTGGGAAGGAAGCAATGTCGATTTTGGCCAATGTCTAATTTTCTAGCAGCTCCCAGTGGATATATGCAGCAGTATATCCACTGGGGGAGTCCTGGTGTGGCACTGCAGCTTAATGCGCCAGACTGCAAAGCCGTTTGAATTGCAAAGTCAGTAGTTCAAACTCACCAGCTGCTCCTCGGAAACCCTACACAGGGTCGCTATGGGTCAGAACTGACTCGATGGCACTTAACAACAACAACAACAACATATCCACTGGGAGCTGCCAGAATTTCAAGCCAGATTCAAAAGAGAATGTGAAAC